ATTTTACTAATTTTCAATCAAAAGCTTATACCACTTGTACATATCACACTCTAGTTACCGTTCACCCTAAAATCATTTGGAGGGAAATAAGCACCGTACACAATTTATATAATATATTCAACATATACGTCAAATGCAATGCCATCCGAGCATGTGTATAAATTCATATACATGTTCATATGTGTATATGTGTAATTGTGTGCAAATCGAAAGTAAAACATAATTCGATCTAAGTTCACCGAATGTAGCACATAATAAACATATTTATATAGAAAAATATATTGTAAAAGTATCTTCCCGTGATCTTCTAGAGTCTTTTCTTATAATCAGTGGGATTAGTTTATCACAGTATTAATAAATTTTAATTACTTGTATTCTTCATCATTATATTAGGTATGGCATTACACGTAATGAATTTCGGGCCAAGGGATGGGGGCCCTGGGGGCGAGGGATTTCGCCTTTTGGAGCAAGGTATGGCATTACACGTAATGAATTATATATGTTCAAATTTGTTTTATAAAAGCTAAAACAATATGTATACCGAATGATTCGCAATCTACGATGACCCATATAAGATAAGTGAAATTAATTAATAAATTAGTGTCGATATAAATCCAAATGCTCTTAGTTTCATTTTGTAATCTATTTTATGAATTATATTGGACAGGAATTCTTGTGATTTGGCGTATTGGCGCTTCTGTCAAATTATTCTGACCACATAAGAATTTATATATCATTAATTAGTGTAAAATAATCATACTTTTCAATAATGGCTTAGCATAATATACACAGAAAATTTGGATGATTAGGTGTCAAGGTTCACGGGTGTGCTATCTATCGATCCGTGTGGGGCCCGTCCCGGCCCGGCCCGGCCCGGCCCTATGTCTTCCACGGGGTTTAATTTGTTAGTCTCCGTTGACGCGCAATGAGGATTGCGGTCCACAAGCACTTGCTGCTGCCCTCATGTTACTCTTGTACGCATATATTTGGCTTCACTCGTTGATTCCACCCACCACTACACCAAGATATGTAAACTCCTAAGTTGCACGGCTTGCATCATTTTTTTTCATTTATGTATTTCTTTCTTTTTTTTATTATTTATTTTAGGGAGAATTACAACTACCCCTGAGCTATGGTTAATTTACGAAAAATCCCTTCTTATTTGGATAAGTACATCTATCTCCCTCAACTATGATTTTTTCTTACACCTCCACCCTTGTGCTTATCAAATTCAACATAATCATCTAGATTTCGTGGAATGTGCTCTAATTTGTACTCGTTTTGTGTAAACATATAGTTTTTGATGCACCACAATTTGATATATACAAGCCAAAAACATATATTATGATCATCTTGCTTCAAAATGTCGAGTTCAAATGGGATAAAACGGGCACAAAAGTGATAATATTCCATATAATCTAGAAGATTCCACTAAATTTGAAACCGCGAGGGTGGACGTGTAAGAAGATTTGTAGTTGAGGGGTGGTTGTAATTACCCGAACATGAGGGGGTTTTCGTAATTTGACCATACATCAGGGGTGGTTGTAATTTACCCTTTGTTTTAAGAACAAATGGCAAATAACAAATAAGTCCATGACAAGGGATTTAAAGGCACATAGATTCAGACAAAAAACAGTCTTGCAAATAAGACAATCTCAATGTTTTTTGTCTAAAATACCCCTCATAATATAATTTTCATCAGCTCCATCCATTATACTTTAACTTCATCATTATTACACATTAACCCCAGATTTAAACAAATATATCATCATATTTACTCCCAATTTCAAAAAAAAATTAAAAACTTTTTTTAGAAAATATTTTTTTTCTGCATTTCTTTTCCGGCCAAATTCCGGCGTTAACTTTTTTTTCTTTTTGTTTTTTCTTTTTTTTGAAACTTTTTTTTTCTGTCTAAGTTACTATGTTAACAACAAAATTATTGTCTGAAATAGTAATATTGAATACCAAAACAGTAATATTAGTTAGTAATATTATCGTTCTACTAATATTACTGTCCCAAACAATATAATATTACTGTATGAGACAACAATATTACTCTCATGCAATATTACTGTCGGAGACAGTAATATTACGGTCGGAGACAACAAAATCGCAGGCCAAGACGATAAAATTAATTAATACAGTAAATTATTGTCTCATACAATTAAATTATCGTCTCCACTGGTAATATTGAAAACCAAGACAGTATTATCAATGAAAATAATTTTTTTAAGAAAAAAATGGTTTTCAGAAAAAAAAATACAAAAAAAAAAAAAAAAAAAAGTCAACAATAGGTGACTACTGGAAAAAAAATTCAAAAAAAAAGTCAACGTCGGAGACCAGTGGTTAACGGCGGCTGGCTGGCGGTGGGAGTCAAAATTGGAATAAGGGTCACAATTGGTTAATATGAGTTGGATTTTAGTTACCTAGGGTCATATCTATATATTCCTACAATAATACATGTCAATTAACACACTTATACAGTGAAAGTGACTCGAAGATTCTTCTACATATAATGTCTAATTACATTGTAGTATGTCTGTGCTCTTACTTATATGCCTTAATTATCTATATTCAAAACTTGTAGTTGGTATCTTATTAACTGAGAGTATATTGAAACAATAAATATTTATGTATAATATTTCAAAAATAAAATAAAAAATAGAGGACATTGTTATGGTCACAACTCAATGTCAAATAACAACTTTCTTGGCTGTTGTGCTTCTTTTCTCTCACTTATCTCTTGTTCTATGTTATTTTGTCTAAATCTCTTATTTCTCATGTTGCAAATTAGATATGATTCAGGTCGCTAGTGCTCTACTGAAACCGAGCGTACCTTGGGGCACATGCTACAAAAGGCTTAGGAAGCGGACGTTTTGATGAGGGGACTTCGTAAACTATCTAAATTTGAAGCTATTACATAAAAAAAGGAGTGAAACCACAGAAGCAGGTAAGCCTGACTTCAAGACAGACTGTGAAGGGCACCGGTCAAGCTCACACAAGAGGGGAGGAATGAAAGATTGATAGATCAAATATGCGAAGTGTGGAATTTAGCATTTGCAAATCTTAATTGTTTTGCTAGTTTATTGTCTTTGAGAATGATTTATGTTACTAGCCTGAACTCGAGATCCAAATTTGGTTTCGGAACTTCAATTTTTGTAGTAACTAGGCAGGTGCACGTGCATTGCATGTGTCGTGTATTTTTCTATATATTTCTTAGTTATGTACTGTACCAAAATAATATTAATTAATTATGAAGTGTATAAATATCTAGTTAGATTGCTAATTTTTGCTAATATATTGTATATAGAATTTAGCCTTATTTAATAATGACATACTTAAACATATTATACATTGTTTTCTGAGCAATTAACAATTATTTGTGTTTGTATTATGTTAAGAATGATTGTTTTTAGCCTTCTTATCAACACTAACACTAATTTTTTTCATTGTTAGCACTACTTTGGACAATATGGGGCCATTTGAGAAAACTCATTCATAAATCAATTAGATTTGAGGAAACCAACCATAACTAATGTTTGAAACTGAAACTGCACAAAAACCGAAAGC